GAGGCACCGGTAGTCCACGAGGAGGAGCCGTTTAGTTTTTCGCTGCGATGGCACGGGAGTGGTGGGGCGTGTGGCGGCTGCTTTGAAGCCGCCCGCTGCGGAGGGAGAGAATGGGCGGGGTGTGCGGCGTGTCATGTTGCGAGTGTGTGGGGCACCACCCATGGCAGCCTGCCGTGCGGCGTGATGCGGATCGGTGAGGGCAAATGTGCGGCAGCGGCAGAGTGTGCGGTGGACGTGGATCCGCCCCGTCCTTCGCGTTGCGGGTGTGTGGGTGCGCTGTGGGGCCGGCTTCTCCTCCGCGTGTCTTTCGCCCTTGCACGGTGGGTGCGTATTTTGGAGTGGGCGGACAATAAATGAGGTGTGCGAGTGGCGATGGTGCGGCTGCTGCGGTGTGTGTGACGTGCGGCTTCGAGTTGTTTGTCTGTCATTGTCATCTCTTAGTGTTTTTGTGTGTTACTCTTCTCACCCTCCTCACTTATCTCTCCCCCTCGCTAGACTGTGCGTGTGTGTGTGTCTTTGCTGCGGTGACAAGAGTGGGGATGGCTGGCCGTGTGCTGTTGGTGTGTGCCCTCTGCGTGCTGTGCTGCGGCGGCGGTGTCGGTGCGTGGGGTGGCGACTACTGCACGGAGAGTGACTGGAGGGGCTTGAGGGCGGTTGCGAGGGACATGAGCGAGGCGGAGATTGAGGGGCAGTACTGCGGCCGCAAGCCGGAGTTTGTGCAGCGGCTGCGGGCGAGTCTGCAGGCAGAGACTAAAGAACATCAGGATGAGAAGGCAAAGAATGCCCCCGACACCGACGAAAAAGCTCAACAAGGAAAGCAAAATGAGCAGCATAATGCAGGCGCACCCGGAGTATCGCAAACTAATGGCGCACCTTCGGAAATGGGGGGAGACTCGGGGAGGGGACAGTCTTTGGGGTCGAAGGGAGTTTCACCATCAGGGAAGGACGGTGCAGGAAGCACTTCCCAGTCAGGTGGCAGCACAAGCCCAACCGAAGATGGAGCACCGCGTACGGACAAAACAGTGTCGCCCCCGGCGCCGCCATCCAAACCCTCAATAACGACTTTGCAACCTGGTGGAGGAGAAAAGGACGTTATACCGAATACCACATCGGAGTCTTCACCACCAGTGAAGCAAGATAAAGCAGAAGCGAGTGACGGAGAGGAGAAGACATTGCACGAAAAAGTTCCAGAACAACAACAAAAGACCCAGATTGTGCAGGAGCCTCCGCCTGCAACACCAAACGCACCAACACCGCCGACCGGGCAGTCAGGGGAGGCCGAAGAGAAAACGACGTCGGCCGACGGTCAATCAAAGGCGAATGAGGGGAACGGAGGAGAAGCGCGAGTTGAGGACATCACACAAAACACTCAAACGACAGTTGTTGGGGGCCACGCGGGGGCAACTCAACAAAATTCCCCTGCGGTTGGTGGCGGTGCTGCCAGCAGTGAGGCTGAAAGGCGCGCGGTGGACGATGCAGCGAAAGGCGGTGTGGAGGAAACAACAGCAGCGTCAGCCACCATCAGCGTTGGCACTAATGCGGCGAAGCCGGTGCCCGGCGACAGTGACAGCGGCAGCGCGGCCTCGCACTGCACCTCCCCCGTTGCGCTTCTTCTGCTTTTTGCGTGTGCGGTGGCTGCTGCGATGGCGGCGGCGTGAGGGAGCGGTGCGCAGCTCGTCCTTCGCTTAAATATATATATTTCTCTCTCTTTGTGTGTGTCCTCCTGCACGGACTGTCGCCCTCGCCCCACCCCACGAGGCACACACGTAATGTGCTCATGCATACACGCACACTCATGCAGCCCGTTGGTCTTCCTTTTTGTTTTAATTATTTTGCTGTTGAGGGGCCGCTGCCGTCCTGCTTGGCTGCATGGGTAGAGCACCGTAACTGCTTTAGTCATTTCAATTGTTTTGGTTTTGATTGCTTTCGGTGGGCGGCCTTTCTTTCCCTTCCTCTTCCTGGATTGGGCTGTGCGGGAAGGGAGGGAGTGTGTGTGTGCTGGTCGGCCCACTTGCTGCTGCGCGTCCCCAATGCTCGGTGGACGGCCCACGCTTCGGCTTAGCTTCACGGGGTTTGTGTGTTTTTTATGTTTGTTCGTTTGTGTTTTGATTGACTGCATTCATTCCGCGGGCTGCTTGTTTGTGTGTGTCCGTGTGCTCTCCGCCGTGTTAGGCTTCCTCTTTTTTTTTTTTGCTTCTCTTCGCTGCCGCCTCGTAGATCACTGCCCCCAGCGACTCTGCCACCACCACCACTAACACCACGACGGCTTGCGATGGCGACGGTGCGGCGCCGTGCGGTGTGCGCCTTTGTGGTTCTTGCATTGCTGTGCGGCTGCTGCTCCGTGTGGGGTGCTGCGCCGGATGAAACGGTGTAAATTGCCGGTGGGGCACGTGGAAAGCGTGTTGGGCATGCTACTTTTCAGCAGCGGGGTCAACCTCTCACTGATGGTTGGAATCTCCCTCTTCCCGGTGGCAGCGGGGGTGGCGTGGGTTCTCAGAATAATGTGCAT